GTAGAATAAACAAACACACAACAATACGCACAGTAAAACTCAGTTTAAAAGAAGTCCGAGTCCCATGTCAGAATAGGTAACAAAAGAAACTAAACAAAATGACAATGATACATAAATTAACAAAGGACTACTAGCAGTTACTGACATGCCAGCTCAAGACTTCAATTAAACTGATTGAAAGATTATGTCTTCATCATATGAATATCAAGTACAATCCCTCCCGTTAGGGGTTTAGAGTCATACCATCATACAATATACGAGAAGAACATAACCCGTATCATGCCAACAACTGGTTTTAGAATAAATGTGTTTATTTCCGATGCAAAGACCCTATATATACTAAGTGAATCAATATTAAAGCCAAAATATGCAATCTTTAATGACCTGACAACAGTATCGTAACTATATCCCTTTTTAATAAGTCTGTTGAAAAGGTTTTGTTAGCTTTTGAGATGAAAGCTGACATTTTTGTGCTTTGTAAAGAATATTACCATAAAAAATTAGATGTGAAATTCCTGAACGTATAAGATGTCTGCATGTTGAATTATATTTACGAATGATGTCCTTGTACCGATGATAAAATTTAGTAAATGTTTTGACTAGTTTGTGATATCGAAAATCCTAGTGTAATAATTTTTCAATAATACATAAATTTCTCTCGCTAAAATCTAATACGTTGTGACATACACGAGCGAATCGTACAAGTTGAGATATATAAACACCATAAGATGGTGACAATGAGTATTCATTTAAGAAATGAATGTATAACAAGCGATAAGGAATGTTATTTTGCACTCGATAATGTCTGCGTATCTATAAACGGTTACCAGTCAAACACGGATCCGTAAGTTACGTAAGTAGAAATCTCGTCTGCAACAATACATCGGAATGCCCTCACGGTCATCGCGATGTAAAAATAAAATTCATTTTGAAAAGAATACGGACATAATTTAGCCAAAATGCATAGTAGAAGCATCTTGCATGGAAACTCAGTTCTGTACAGTCCAATAATGTTCAGAAACTGGTTACACTCGGAACATAGGGAAAGTTCTGCGGCAAAATATCAAAGTTTAAAGACAATTATTCTTTTTTGTTAATTCCATTCCAACAAACCATTTTCTGCCTGAGTTTCCATGCAAGATGCTTCTACTATGCATTTTGGCTAAATTATGTCCGTATTCTTTTCAAAATGAATTTTATTTTTACATCGCGATGACCGTGAGGGCATTCCGATGTATTGTTGCAGACGAGATTTCTACTTACGTAACTTACGGATCCGTGTTTGACTGGTAACCGTTTATAGATACGCAGACATTATCGAGTGCAAAATAACATTCCTTATCGCTTGTTATACATTCATTTCTTAAATGAATACTCATTGTCACCATCTTATGGTGTTTATATATCTCAACTTGTACGATTCGCTCGTGTATGTCACAACGTATTAGATTTTAGCGAGAGAAATTTATGTATTATTGAAAAATTATTACACTAGGATTTTCGATATCACAAACTAGTCAAAACATTTACTAAATTTTATCATCGGTACAAGGACATCATTCGTAAATATAATTCAACATGCAGACATCTTATACGTTCAGGAATTTCACATCTAATTTTTTATGGTAATATTCTTTACAAAGCACAAAAATGTCAGCTTTCATCTCAAAAGCTAACAAAACCTTTTCAACAGACTTATTAAAAAGGGATATAGTTACGATACTGTTGTCAGGTCATTAAAGATTGCATATTTTGGCTTTAATATTGATTCACTTAGTATATATAGGGTCTTTGCATCGGAAATAAACACATTTATTCTAAAACCAGTTGTTGGCATGATACGGGTTATGTTCTTCTCGTATATTGTATGATGGTATGACTCTAAACCCCTAACGGGAGGGATTGTACTTGATATTCATATGATGAAGACATAATCTTTCAATCAGTTTAATTGAAGTCTTGAGCTGGCATGTCAGTAACTGCTAGTAGTCCTTTGTTAATTTATGTATCATTGTCATTTTGTTTAGTTTCTTTTGTTACCTATTCTGACATGGGACTCGGACTTCTTTTAAACTGAGTTTTACTGTGCGTATTGTTGTGTGTTTGTTTATTCTACATTGGCTAAAGATATAGAAGGAGGGTTGAGATCTCAAAAAACATATTTAACCCCGCCGCATTTATGCGCATGTCCCAAGTCAGGAGCCTCTGGCCTTTGTTAGTCTTGTATGCTTTTTAATTTTAGTTTCTTTTATATCTTTCGGAGTTTAGTATGACGTCCATTATCACTGAACTAGTATACATTTTTGTTTAGGGGCCAACTGAAGCACGCCTCCGGGTGCGGGATTTTCTCGCTGCATTGAAGACCCATTGGTGGCCTTTGGCTGTTATCTGCTCTTTGGCCGGGTTGTTGTCTCTTTGACATATTCCCCATTTTTATTCTCAATTTCACTCATAAAAATATTTTTGTTTAGAACATAAATTAATAACATGAAAATGTTTTGTCGTTAGAAATATATATATATAAGTAAAAAATTCGTAAGGGTTCCACGGAACCCAGTGTCTCGCCTACTTTTTCTGTTAATCGCAGGCTCAACAAAAATGAGGAAGTAAATCAATAAAATTATTCCTCTTGATACTATCTTTTGATTGTAAGAAGGTTCTGTCCAAGTTTGGTTAACTGGAAGAAAACAAAATTTCCTTCTAGATACTAGCATTTGATCATAAACAAGCTCCTGTCCAAGTTTGGTACAAATCCAAAATAGTATAAGAAAGTTATTAAAATTTTATAAAACTTTAACCACAGAGTGAATGTGTTGTTTCCTGGCAGAAAATCTAAGTCCATTTAAAAGTAAAATACGGAAAAAATGGCTTTATTTTTTTACAAAATTTCCTTCTGGATACTATATCTTATGATCATAAACAAGCTTCTGTCCAAGTTTGGTAGAAATTCAGGATAGTTTAAGAAAGTTATTAAAATTTCAAAAACTTTAACCACAGAGTGAATATTTGTGGACGCCGCCGCCGGAAAGTAGGATCGCTATGTCTCGCTTTTTCGACTAAAGTCGAAGGCTCGAAAAAAAATCGCTGATAATATCTATGCACACGTACAGAAAAATAGTGTTAAAGAATATCTCAAGAATTTAACGTTTTGCGGGACTTGAAAAATGAATGCCTGCTCAAATCCATTCTATTAGAAAAATCGAATTATTACAGAAAAATGTCCACCATGTACTTGGAAGTTGCACTGCACTATTATTAGAATAGTAGAATAGAATGATATACAAATGGATGAAAATTATATATACATGTAACTGTTAAATACAAACATTAATATAATATACTAATATAACAACAAACCAGAGTATACTGATTTGTATCACTACAATATAATAGTTTTTACGGTGATGTTGAATTCCCTGTCATTTATTCATTTTCCACGCACGAACTTGTCTCAGAAAAAAATCTATCTCCGTACATTAATCTCACTTTCAGGTATCCAGATGTGATTTTTTTTCCGAGACAAGTGCTTGTGACCATCCACAAGAACTTGCGGTCATCCGATGTTCAGTACTTCAGTACTTTGATTCTATTTTGCAAGCAGCGTTATTCAGCAACCATTTTAAAACGAATGGGTTTCTTACCGAAATTGCACTAATAGTGGCACAAACGGCATTCCCTTTATTTTCACACTTTATCCTGCGATTCTATAATTTGGATTCTAGTTTAAAAAAAAAATCATCGGGAAACGGCGTGCATCTGAGACTTACAAATTCAATGCAAACAGACAGCTTAACAGCCAGTAAAGAAGTTATTGAGGTTCTTGAAGCAGAAGAAACAACACTTCTATCCTGTGAAAGGATAAGACGGGGACGAGCCATAGAAAAACAAGACATTTGATCAATTGTTTTAAAATAAGCTTCCTATACACATGATATACATTAGTGTTTCATATTTTAGAGCGGGAGACAAAAGAAAGGGGGTGGGAGAAAGAAGAGGGGCGGGAGAAAGGAGTCCGCCCCCTCTGTTATCTTAAACTTGCAGTGCAAGTGAGGCAATTTGTGTTTGCTCTGTGTTGAAGGCCTCACTGTGACTGAGATAACGAAAAACAATTAAAGTTCTCTTCCTTAGACTTTCCCAGGTAAGGGGAAGGTTGAGCCCATGTTAAACCCTGCCACATTCTTTAAGTGCCTGTGACGAAGTCAGGAACCTGTAGTTCTATGGCTGTTGTTGGTTCATGTCTCATATTTGTTTTTCACAAATAGTTTTGTTATAAATTACGTCGTTTGAATTGTTTCATATTTTTCATGTCATGGCCTTTTAAAGCAGACTACACGGTGTGGGGTTTTCTCACTGCTGAAGGCTTTACTATTGCCTATAATGCTTACACCCACTTCATTTGAACTTTAGTTGATAGTTGTCTCATTGACAATCATACCATCTCTCCTTATTTTCATATTAACCAGGAAAACTTAACATTCAGACAAAGAAAATGAGGTCAAGGTCAGATAAAACCTGCCAGACTGACATGTACACCTTACAATCATTCCATACACCAAATAAAGTTGAACTATACTGCTTACAGTATCTGGGAAGCAGACCAAAACATGTGACTTTCACCTTGATCAATGAGGTTGAGGTCAGGTGAACCCTGTCTGAAGAACATATAGACATTGCAATGACCCATATCAAATCCTATTACTCATCATTGAGAAATTCAAATAAAAAAAAATCTTTTTTTAAGCAGTTGCTGAACCATGAAAATAAAATCAAGGACAACAGACATGTGACAGACGGAAACTTCCAAACATATGGCATATGTCTGTATTAATGGTATGATTAAATCCTCCAAGCCTATCAATTTCTGAAATATAAAGCTTAATACAAATAGTTTCTGCCGCCGCCAGATCTCAATGTCTTGCATTCTGAAGTTTTTGTGGCATGTGAGACAAAAACATTTAATACAAATATCCTTAATAACAGAGAATAATCAGAAAAATTTGTATCACATATTATTTTAATACTGAATGGAATTCAAATGTTAAAAGTTAGAGTTAACAAAGACATTCAAAATTACAATATTGCAGAATTTAAGACACTGTTATACACAGTATAAATATATACCGAGATGATAGGTTTTATCTCAAAACATCTAAAATTGAAAGAATTTTACTTCCATTTAAACATTCAAACTTTAAGGCCATTTAAGATTTCAAAATATACCCACTTTTTACACCACCCTTAATGTTTATTATCTAGAACTCTGTGATTTTGTTTTCATAATATTTTTTTTTTTTTTTTTAACAGAGCTCTAGATAATAAAAATATTGGATGTCTAAGGTTAGAGGTATAAGCAAAGACATTGCAAATCAAAGACACTGTTATGGTGAAATATACAGAGAAGATAGGTTTTGTCTCCAATATCTAATAATAAAAAAATTCAATTAAACATATTTACTTCAAAGCCATTTTCAATACCCAAGAAAAATGTACAGCTTGAAAAAAACATTTTTTAAAATACACTAATGAAAGGAAAAAACTTATCCAACACAAATCATTTACCAATAAATATCTCTTGTATTTAATTTCGTAAATATTTTGGGGAGGGGGTGAATTCAAAATATAAAAAATATAACCACTTTTTACACCACCCTTAATGTTTATTATCTAGAACTCTATTTACAATTTTTTTTTTTTTTACATAGCTCTAGATAATAAAAATATTGGATGTCTAAGGTTAGAGGTATAAGCAAAGACAATCAAAATAAGAATATTGCAAATTAATGACACTTTTAGAGTGTAATAAATGAAGAAGAATAGGTTTTGTCTCCAAATATCTAAAATCAAAACAATTGTACGTCCAATTAAACATTCTGACTTTAAAGTTTTAAATTTCATAAATACATTGGTGAAAAAAAGAAAATTTAAAATATGCCCACTTTTTACACCACCCTTAATGTTTATTATCTAGAACTGTTTAAATTTTGTTTTCATATTATTTTTTACATTTTTTTTTTAAACAGAGCTCTAGATAATAAAAATATCAGATGTCTAAGGTTAGACACATCAACACAAGCCATGAGTTTGGTTGAAGACAAATTTACCGGTTGCAATAATTGTTCTTTATTTCTCCCCACTCATAATCATAAGTGTTCTCCCTCTCTCACTCTGACCATTCTACATCTTTCTCTCTCTCCCACTGACCATATACAATTATGAAATTTCAGTCATATATTTTCATTGCCAAGAATATTTTGTCTCTGAAGTGTTCATTGATCAACTATGCTGATAATCTGTTAAGCTTATAAGTTCATCAGTTGAGTCAGTTAGAGACCTAACCTCTGAGATGGTGATGAAGCAGCTGTTCAATGTTGATTATTGCTCTTGTTAATTTCAAAGTGTTGATAGTTTCGTCTACCCTTTACTCTATGAGTTGATCTTTCTCTTTCCTTATTCTATGTGGTCTGTTTTTACACTTTACTCTGTGAGTTAATCTTTCTCTTTTCTTATTCTAGGTGGTCTGTTTCTCTTAGGTATATACCTTTCAGATGTTTCCAAGTTCATCAGTTCAAAGTTCATCAGTTCAATTGTTCCTCCTCACTACAAACAACAATTTAATTAGTTAATTCAATAGGATAACAAAAATTTCAAAAGAATATGGGAACAGCACTTGAATTTTGAACAAAAAGGTTTTACAGCAATAATGGAGAGCAGTTTAGTACTATTCTGAAAACTTAATGTCACTACCATAGAAATATTTTCCCCGATTTAGGTCCCTAAAGCAGGCTTAGATTAAAAATTCTGAAAACAGCGTCGTTTTGTTTTAATTTCAGATGTGAATACAAAAAAGTGAGGTATACAGACAAAAACTAAAAATAATCAAAATACATTGACAATTATTTCATTCTTTTGACGTCTGATAATCTTTTCATAAAATTTTCCTATTTGGTCTCTTTATTAAATAATACAGCTGATACCTCCAGTTGGAGTCATGTTACCATTATTGCACATATAATGTTCAAGTTGACCATAGGGGTCATCTTGACATTGTTATTAAGTATAAACATTTCAGTTCATAGGTGAATACTCTACAGCAACTGTTATGATGAAGAACAACAATAAAAGTAGTTACTTTAATTAACTGGTTATTTCCAGTACATCATGTTCATAAGTTGACTGAGTGAAACAGTTTTTAAGCAGCTCTGTCACATTGCCAACCGAGAAAGATATATTTGTAAACTTCCACATCATTTGGTCTCTGGTGGAGAGTTGTCTCATCGGCAATCAAACCACATCTTCTTTTTATTAGAACATTGTGACATCAGATGGACAGATAATTAATTCGCTAAGGAAGTAAGAATACCAACCTTGTATGAGGTGAGATCCTGCTCCTATGATTTACTCCCATCAAATAATTCTGTTGGTATGATACTTGTAGCACGATTTGTCGTACATCTGAAACACAGAAAGTATGTCTTTAAGTATTTTGGATCATCTGCATGAACAATATTTATTTATACTTTATACCTTTAAGAATTTTACAGTATTCTGAAAACATTGAGAATACCCTTACAATATTAGAAACAACTTGAGCTTATTATTTGGTCTAATACATCTCACATTTACCCCAGTAGTACTTTTTTATCAATCCGATCAAATTTGCAAAACAGAATGACAGAATAACAAGAAACTCCTAGGTATTTTGAAAATTGACTTTTTTTTGTTTTGAATATTATTATTAATCCGATCAAATTTGTAAAACAGATTGACACAATTTCAAGAAATTACTAGGTATTTTGAAAATATTTTTTTTATGTTTTGAATATTAAAAGCATATGCTGGCTTCTATTAGTGTGTTGTACAATGGTTCCAATTCCATATTAATTCAGGTGATTGTATGCATCACAATCAACCCACCAGATTCCTTAAGGTAAACACTTACCATTAATTTATCAGAATATTCTTCATAAGTCTAATATCAATATTGTGATGGATCCTTGATATGAGATGTCCAGCATAAATTTTAAGAATTTCTCCTTTCAGGTTGAACATTGAAATCTGGAATAAAAATAATTCATTTTTATGAATTGGCAGTCACATACTTCACATGAAATAATCATTTAAATCAAAACTATTTAATTAAGACTTTTGTATGTTTTTTTTTTTATTTTATAATAAGAAGATAATCAAACTAATTGATTTCATTTGGTCACTGCTATATAGATTTCTCCATTGTCAATCCTACCACATCATCTTAATGTCATAGCTAATATGACATTATTGTTAAATACATTTTTTTCCCTTTTCTATCAATATTATCTATGGCTGTTATTACCCTCCATCAGTGTTATTCAATAAATGATTGTAAGAAGATTCTCATTTTGCAAAGAATTCCCTCAGTTTTAACTTGCAGTAAGATGTACGTTTGGTACAGCTGTTACTTTTAAGCTTTTTTCAAGTGCTCACTTGTATTTTTCTTTCACAATTTGATAAACTATTTCCCCTTGTTAGCATTCAATTATTATTTTTTCACTTTGTAAAAAGTTCTGGCTGATTTTACAAATAACCAACATATCAAAATAACATGCTGCCTTACAATAGATTCTAATGAAATATTAAGCTATTATTTTCATAGGCATTTTCAATGTTTTCAACTGAGGAAATATCAATGTCTTCATCTAAGGAAATGAATTGTCAAAAAGTATTTATTGGCAGTTTTGATATAACTTTTCTTTTCGATACTAAGTATCTTATCAAGTCATACAAATTTCATAATTCTTCATGTTCAACAATAAAAAAGAAAACCAGAAAAAATTACAAAACATTATCAAAAATATATTAGCCACGAAAAATTTATCTTCCATAAATTTAAATATTCAAGAAGCATCATAAATCAGGAACAAGAAAATCATAAAATAAATCCACACTAACAGGTTTGGCCATTAAAATTCAAAATTTAAATTCTGTGCAAATAATACACTTTTTACAGACTTAAACTATATCAATACCTTGTGTTTTTCTTGAGAAAACGTCAGAATATGTAATGAACTGGAAATCTAATCAACTATGTGTTCTGGATAATTTCATTGCAAAAGGAAACACTGTCTGTCTTCTGAACACTTCATTGCAACTTAGGAACATCTGTTTGTGCTATAGAACATCTGTCTTCACTATAGAACATTATGTAGGAACATGTCTTCTCTATAGAACATTATGTAGGAACGTGTCTTCACTATAAGACATTAAGTAGGAACATGTCTTCACTATAGAACATTATGTAGGAATACGTCTTCACTATAAGACATTATGTAGGAATATGTCTTCACTATAGAACATTATGTAGGAACGTGTCTTCACTATAAGACATTATGTATGAACATGTCTTCACTATAGAACATTATGTATGAACATGTCTTCACTATAGAACATTATGTAGGAACATGTCTTCACTATAAGACATTATGTATGAACATGTCTTCACTATAGAACATTATGTAGGAACATGTCTTCACTATAAGACATTATGTATGAACATGTCTTCACTATAGAACATTATGTAGGAATATGTCTTCACTATACAGCATTATGTATGAATATGTCTTCACTATACAACATTATGTATGAACATGTCTTCACTATAGAACAATATGTAGGAACAAGTCTTCACTATACAACATTATGTAGGAACATGTCTTCACTATAAAACATCTGTCTTCATTAATGTTATTATACAAGTCCATAATTTTATTTCAATAGCTATTCAACTTTTAGCTTGAGTGTGCCAGTTGTCTGACTGTACATAATCCACCAATCTCATAGAAAACCTTTTAGTATTTCTGTCTTTCATCTCTTTAGATATCATTGAAAACTTTTGTTGGATCTTTCTTGATATAAAAAAAGTCAGTTTCTACACAGAGCTATATTCTATTGTCCTCAATTGCCATGACAATCATTGAAGACTGAATATAGACATCTCAAATAAACACAGTTCTAAAGTTTCACAATTTTACAAGACTTCACAATAAACATTTTTACAAATTATACAGTGCACTAATCATAATAATAAACAAAATTTTAAATATGCCTACTTTATACAACATCCTCAATGTTTATTATCTAGAACTCTTGTTTACAAACGATTTTGTTTTCATATTATTTTTTGTTTTTTTTATATTTTTTTACAGAGCTCTAAATAATAAAAATATCAGATTTTAAAGGTTAGAGGCAAAGTCATTCTAAATCAGAATATTGCAAAATTTTAATGTTAGTTGATTTTCTCAATTTGTTGGTCCATACAGTAATCTATTTTACATCAACATCATTTGGTCTTTGCCAACTGAGAGGAGGATATGTGATATCTTTAGAAGACTTTAAGGTGGGGGTCATAAAAAATAATACAATAATCCCACCTTTTACACCACCCTCAATGTTTATTATCTAGAACTCTGTTTACAAACAGTTTTGTTTTCATATCATTTTTTGGTATTTTCATTTTTTATATTTTTTTTTTATATTTTTTTACAGAGCTCTAGATAATAAAAATATCAGATGTTTAAGGTTACAGGTATTAACAAAGTCATTCTAATTCAGAATATTGCAAAATTTTAATGTTAGTTGATTTTCTCATTGTTGAAGTCCATACAGTAACATGCAACTTCATTTGGTCTCTGTAGGATAGTTGTCTCGCATCTCTTCTTTTCATAACAAATCAATTTGTAGGTTCTATAAAGTGGGCCGATGACGAAGGTAAGGGAAATTTTGACTGCCAACTGAGAGGAGGATATGTTGGCCAGAAATTAAGCCTTGCAACAGGCCACCTACTGACCCCTCAAAGACTTGTGGCAAGGGTTCTTTAACATGCAGAGTGGCACTGTCCCTACACATAGGAACTATATACTTTTTAAATTGCCATTCCAATTTTTTGTTTGTTTTAAAAATGATAACTTTAGAAGACTTTAAGGCGTGGGTCATAAAAACTATTACAATAATCCCACCTTTTACACCACCCTCAATGTTTATTATCTAGAACTCTGTTTACAAACAGTTTTGTTTTCATATCATTTTTTGGTATTTTCATTTTTTATATTTTTTTTTTATATTTTTTTACAGAGCTCTAGATAATAAAAATATCAGATGTTTAAGGTTACAGGTATTAACAAAGTCATTCTAATTCAGAATATTGCAAAATTTTAATGTTGGTTGATTTTCTCAATTTGTTGAAGTCCATACAGTAACCTATTTTACATCAACATCATTTGGTCTCTGTAGGATAGTTGTCTCGCATCTCTTCATTTCATAACAAATCAATTTGTAGGTTCTATAAAGTGGGCCGATGACGAAGGTAAGGGAAATTTTGACTGCCAACTGAGAGGAGGATATGTTGGCCAGAAATTAAGCCTTGCAACAGGCCACCTACTGACCCCTCAAAGACTTGTGGCAAGTGTTCTTTAATATGCAGAGTGGCACTGTCCCTACACATAGGAACTATATACTTTTTAAATTGCCATTCCAATTTTTTGTTTGTTTTAAACATGATAACTTTAGAAGACTTTAAAGTGGGGGTCATAAAAAATATTACAATAATCCCACCTTTTACACCACCCTCAATGTTTATTATCTAGAACTCTGTTTACAAATGATTTTGTTTTCATATCATTTTTTGGTATTTTCATTTTTTATATTTTTTTTTTATATTTTTTTACAGAGCTCTAGATAATAAAAATATCAGATGTTTAAGGTTACAGGTATTAACAAAGTCATTCTAATTCAGAATATTGCAAAATTTTAATGTTGGTTGATTTTCTCATTGTTGAAGTCCATACAGTAACCTATTTTACATCAACATCATTTGGTCTCTGTAGGATAGTTGTCTCGCATCTCTTCATTTCATAACAAATCAATTTGTAGGTTCTATAAAGTGGGCCGATGACGAAGGTAAGGGAAATTTTGACTGCCAACTGAGAGGAGGATATGTTGGACAGAAATTAAGCCTTGCAACAGGCCACCTACTGACCCCTCAAAGGCTTATGGAAAGGGTTCTTTAACGTGCAGAGTGGCACTGTCCCTACACATATAGGAACTATACTTTTTAAATTGCCATTCCAATTTTTGTTTGTTTTAAACATGATAACATAAGAAGACTTTAAGGTGGGGGTCATAAAAAAATATTGCAATAATCCCACCTTTTACACCACCCTCAATGTTTATTATCTAGAACTCTGTTTACAAACGATTTTGTTTTCATATATTATTTTTTGGTATTTTCTTTTTTTATATTTTTTTTAATATTTTTTTTACAGAGCTCTAGATAATAAAAATATCAGATGTTAAAGGTTAGAGGTATTAACAAAGTCATTCTTATTCAGAATATTGCAAAATTTTAATGTTGGTTGATTTTCTCATTGTTGAAGTCCATACAGTAACCTATTTTACATCAACATCATTTGGTCTCTGTAGGATAGTTGTCTCGCATCTCTTCATTTCATAACAAATCAATTTGTAGGTTCTATAAAGTGGGCCGATGACGAAGGTAAGGGAAATTTTGACTGCCAACTGAGAGGAGGATATGTTGGACAGAAATTAAGCCTTGCAACAGGCCACCTACTGACCCCTCAAAGACTTATGGAAAGGGTTCTTTAACGTGCAGAGTGGCACTGTCCCTACATATATAGGAACTATACTTTTTAAATTGCCATTCCAATTTTTGTTTGTTTTAAACATGATAACATAAGAAGACTTTAAGGTGGGGGTCATAAAAAATATTGCAATAATCCCACCTTTTACACCACCCTCAATGTTTATTATCTAGAACTCTGTTTACAAACGATTTTGTTTTCATATATTATTTTTTGGTATTTTCTTTTTTTATATTTTTTTTTATATTTTTTTTACAGAGCTCTAGATAATAAAAATATCAGATGTTAAAGGTTAGAGGTATTAACAAAGTCATTCTTATTCAGAATATTGCAAAATTTTAATGTTGGTTGATTTTCTCATTGTTGAAGTCCATACAGTAACCTATTTTACATCAACATCATTTGGTCTCTGTAGGATAGTAATGTCTCACATCTCTTCTTTTCATAACAAATCAATTTGTAGGTTCTATAAAGTGGGCCGATGATGAAGGTAAGGGAAATTTTGACTGCCAACTGAGAGGAGGATATGTTGGACAGAAATAAAGCCTTGCAACAGGCCACCTACTGACCCCTCAAAGAGTTGTGGCAAGGGTTCTTTAACGTGCAGAGTGGCACTGTCCCTACACATATAGGAACTATACTTTTTAAATTGCCATTCCAATTTTTGTTTGTTTTAAACATGATAACTTTAGAAGACTTTAAAGTGGGGGTCATATTAAATATTACAATAATCCCACCTTTTACACCACCCTCAATGTTTATTATCTAGAACTCTGTTTACAAATGATTTTGTTTTCATATTATTTTATAGTATTTTCATTTTTTATATTTTTTTTTTATTTTTTTTTACAGAGCTCTAAATACTAAAAATATCAGATGTTAAAGGTTAGAGGTATTAACAAAGTCATTCTAATTCAGAATATTGCAAAATTTTAATGTTAGTTGATTTTCTCATTGTTGAAGTCCATACAGTAACATGCAACTTCATTTGGTCTCTGTAGGATAGTTGTCTCGCATCTCTTCTTTCCATAACAAATCAATTTGTAGGTTCTATAAAGTGGGCCCATGACGAAGGTAAGGGAAATTTTGACTGCCAACTGAGAGGAGGATATGTTGGACAGAAATTAAGCCTTGCAACAGGCCACCTACTGACCCCTCAAAGACTTATGGCAAGGGTTCTTTACGTGCAGAGTGGCACTGTCCCTACACATATAGGAACTATACTTTTTAAATTGCCATTCCAATTTTTGTTTGTTTTAAACATGAAAACATAAGAAGACTTTAAGGTGGGGGTCATAAAAAATATTGCAATAATCTCACCTTTTACACCACCCTCAATGTTTATTATCTAGAACTCTGTTTAAAAACGATTTTGTTTTCATATATTATTTTTTGGTATTTTCTTTTTTTATATTTTTTTTTACAGAGCTCTAGATAATAAAAATATCAGATGTTAAAGGTTAGAAGTATTAACAAAGTCATTCTTATTCAGAATATTGCAAAATTTTAATGTCAGTTGATTTTCTCATTGTTGAAGTCCATACAGTAACATGCAACTTCATTTGGTCTCTGTAGGATAGTTGTCTTGCATCTCTTCTTTTCATAACAAATCAATTTGTAGGTTCTATAAAGTGGGCCGATGATGAAGGTAAGGGAAATTTTGACTGCCAACTGAGAGGAGGATATGTTGGACAGGAATAAAGCCTTGCAACAGGCCACCTACTGACCCCTCAAAGAGTTGTGGCAAGGGTTCTTTAACGTGCAGAGTGGCACTGTCCCTACACATATAGGAACTATACTTTTTAAATTGCAATTCCAATTTTTGTTTGTTTTAAACATGATAACTTTAGAAGACTTTAAAGTGGGGGTCATAAAAAATATTACAATAATCCCACCTTTTACACCACCCTCAATGTTTATTATCTAGAACTCTGTTTACAAATGATTTTGTTTTCATATTATTTTATAGTATTTTCATTTTTTATATTTTTTAAAATTTTTTTTTACAGAGCTCTAGATACTAAAAATATCAGATGTTAAAGGTTAGAGGTATTAACAAAGTCATTCTAATTCAGAATATTGCAAAATTTTAATGTTAGTTGATTTTCTCATTGTTGAAGTCCATACAGTAACATGCAACTTCATTTGGTCTCTGTAGGATAGTTGTCTCGCATCTCTTCTTTCCATAACAAATCAATTTGTAGGTTCTATAAAGTGGGCCCATGACGAAGGTAAGGGAAATTTTGACTGCCAACTGAGAGGAGGATATGTTGGACAGAAATTAAGCCTTGCAACAGGCCACCTACTGACCCCTCAAAGACTTATGGAAAGGGTTCTTTACGTGCAGAGTGGCACTGTCCCTACACATATAGGAACTATACTTTTTAAATTGCCATTCCAATTTTTGTTTGTTTTAAACATGAAAACATAAGAAGACTTTAAGGTGGGGGTCATAAAAAATATTGCAATAATCCCACCTTTTACACCACCCTCAATGTTTATTATCTAGAACTCTGTTTAAAAACGATTTTGTTTTCATATATTATTTTTTGGTATTTTCTTTTTTTATATTTTTTTTACAGAGCTCTAAATAATAAAAATATCAGATGTTAAAGGTTAGAGGTATTAACAAAGTCATTCTTATTCAGAATATTGCAAAATTTTAATGTTAGTTGATTTTCTCATTGTTGAAGTCCATACAGTAACATGCAACTTCATTTGGTCTCTGTAGGATAGTTGTCTTGCATCTCTTCTTTTCATAACAAATCAATTTGTAGGTTCTATAAAGTGGGCCTATGATGAAGGTAAGGGAAATTTTGACTGCCAACTGAGAGGAGGATATGTTGGACAGAAATAAAGCCTTGCAACAGGCCACCTACTGACCCCTCAAAGAGTTGTGGCAAGGGTTCTTTAACGTGCAGAGTGGCACTGTCCCTACACATATAGGAACTATACTTTTTAAATTGCCATTCCAATTTTTGTTTGTTTTAAACATGATAACTTTAGAAGACTTTAAAGTGGGGGTCATAAAAAATATTACAATAATCCCACCTTTTACACCACCCTCAATGTTTATTATCTAGAACTCTGTTTACAAATGATTTTGTTTTCATATTATTTTATAGTATTTTCATTTTTTATATTTTTTTTTATTTTTTTTTACAGAGCTCTAGATACTAAAAATATCAGATGTTAAAGGTTAGAGGTATTAACAAAGTCATTCTAATTCAGAATATTGCAAAATTTTAATGTTAGTTGATTTTCTCATTGTTGAAGTCCATACAGTAACATGCAACTTGATTTGGTCTCTGTAGGATAGTTGTCTCGCATCTCTTCTTTTCATAACAAATCAATTTGTAGGTTCTATAAAGTGGGCCCATGACGAAGGTAAGGGAAATTTTGACCGCCAACTGAGAGGAGGATATGTTGGACAGAAATTAAGCCTTGCAACAGGCCACCTACTGACCCCTCAAAGACTTATGGCAAGGGTTCTTTAACGTGCAGAGTGGCACTGTCCCTACACATATAGGAACTATACTTTTTAAATTGCCATTCCAATTTTTGTTTGTTTTAAACATGATAACATAAGAAGACTTTAAGGTGGGGGTCATAAAAAATATTGCAATAATCCCACCTTTTACACCACCCTCAATGTTAATTATCTAGAACTCTTGTTTAAAACAATTTTGTTTTCATATATTATTTTTTGGTATTTTCTTTTTTTATATTTTTTTTAATATTTTTTTTACAGAGCTCTAGATACTAAAAATATCAGATGTTAAAGGTTAGAGGTATTAACAAAGTCATTCTAATTCAGAATCTGGCAAAATTTTAATGTTAGTTGATTTTCTCATTGTTTTTGACTGCCAACTGAGAGGAGGATATGTTGGACAGAAATTAAGCCTTGCAACAGGCCACCTACTGACCCCTCAAAGAGTTGTGGCAAGGGTTCTTTAACGTGCAGAGTGGCACTGTCCCTACACATAGGATTGATTGATTGTTGGTTGCTTAACGTCCAGTGGCAAATATTTCATGCATATTCAGGACCAGAACAAGTTCACAATAAATACAATAGGTAGGTTCTGTAATAGATTAAGGGATTAAGGTCGGAGAAATTTAGACTGCCACGGGAAATGAGGGTATATTGGATAGGGACAGAAATTTAGCCTTGCAACAGGTCACCTACGGACCCCTCAAAGAGTTGTTGCAAGGGTTCTTAACGTGCAAAGAGCGTGGCACTCTCTTTACACGAGGCATTGGATTTAACGTCCCCATTCTGACCGGACGTGGCTGCAAATTTGTACATCCCGCACAGCCAAACGGACGCCCCACTTTAGCACGGGTTTTACTGCCGGTCGGAGGAAGACCAATGGTGACCATACTTCTATTCCCCAGTCACCCTTGGGGGCCTACACATAGGAACTCTACTTTTTAAATTGCCATTCCAATTTTTGTTTGTTTTAAACATAACTTTAGAAGACTTTAAAGTGGGGGTCATAAAAAATATTACAATAATCCCACCTTTTACACCACCCTCAATGTTTATTATCTAGAACTCTGTTTACAAACGATTTTGTTTTCATATTATTTTATAGTATTTTCATTTTTTATATTTTTTTTTATTTTTTTTTTTACAGAGCTCTAGATACTAAAAGTATCAGATGTTAAAGGTTAGAGGTATTAACAAAGTCATTCTAATTCAGAATATTGCAAAATTTTAATGTTAGTTGATTTTCTCAATTTGTTGTTAGTCCATACAGTAACCTATTTTACATCAACATCATTTGGTCTCTGTAGGATAGTTGTCTTGCATCACTTCATTTCATAACAAATCAATTTGTAGGTTCTATAAAGTGGGCCGATGATGAAGGTAGGGGAAATTTTGACTGCCAACTGAGAGGAGGATATGTTGGGCAGAAATTAAGCCTTGCAACAGGCCACCTACTGACCCCTCAAAGACTTATGGAAAGGGTTCTTTAACGTGCAGAGTGGCACTGTCCCTACATATATAGGAACTATACTTTTTAAATTGCCATTCCAATTTTTGTTTGTTTTAAACATGATAACATAAGAAGACTTTAAGGTGGGGGTCATAAAAAATATTGCAATAATCCCACCTTTTACACCACCCTCAATGTTTATTATCTAGAACTCTGTTTACAAACGATTTTGTTTTCATATATTATTTTTTGGTATTTTCTTTTTTTATATTTTTTTTTATATTTTTTTTACAGAGCTCTAGATAATAAAAATATCAGATGTTAAAGGTTAGAGGTATTAACAAAGTCATTCTTATTCAGAATATTGCAAAATTTTAATGTTGGTTGATTTTCTCATTGTTGAAGTCCATACAGTAACCTATTTTACATCAACATCATTTGGTCTCTGTAGGATAGTAATGTCTCACATCTCTTCTTTTCATAACAAATCAATTTGTAGGTTCTATAAAGTGGGCCGATGATGAAGGTAAGGGAAATTTTGACTGCCAACTGAGAGGAGGATATGTTGGACAGAAATAAAGCCTTGCAACAGGCCACCTACTGACCCCTCAAAGAGTTGTGGCAAGGGTTCTTTAACGTGCAGAGTGGCACTGTCCCTACACATATAGGAACTATACTTTTTAAATTGCCATTCCAATTTTTGTTTGTTTTAAACATGATAACTTTAGAAGACTTTAAAGTGGGGGTCATATTAAATATTACAATAATCCCACCTTTTACACCACCCTCAATGTTTATTATCTAGAACTCTGTTTACAAATGATTTTGTTTTCATATTATTTTATAGTATTTTCATTTTTTATATTTTTTTTTTATTTTTTTTTACAGAGCTCTAAATACTAAAAATATCAGATGTTAAAGGTTAGAGGTATTAACAAAGTCATTCTAATTCAGAATATTGCAAAATTTTAATGTTAGTTGATTTTCTCATTGTTGAAGTCCATACAGTAACATGCAACTTCATTTGGTCTCTGTAGGATAGTTGTCTCGCATCTCTTCTTTCCATAACAAATCAATTTGTAGGTTCTATAAAGTGGGCCCATGACGAAGGTAAGGGAAATTTTGACTGCCAACTGAGAGGAGGATATGTTGGACAGAAATTAAGCCTTGCAACAGGCCACCTACTGACCCCTCAAAGACTTATGGCAAGGGTTCTTTACGTGCAGAGTGGCACTGTCCCTACACATATAGGAACTATACTTTTTAAATTGCCATTCCAATTTTTGTTTGTTTTAAACATGAAAACATAAGAAGACTTTAAGGTGGGGGTCATAAAAAATATTGCAATAATCCCACCTTTTACACCACCCTCAATGTTTATTATCTAGAACTCTGTTTAAAAACGATTTTGTTTTCATATATTATTTTTTGGTATTTTCTTTTTTTATATTTTTTTTACAGAGCTCTAGATAATAAAAATATCAGATGTTAAAGGTTAGAGGTATTAACAAAGTCATTCTTATTCAGAATATTGCAAAATTTTAATGTTAGTTGATTTTCTCATTGTTGAAGTCCATACAGTAACATGCAACTTCATTTGGTCTCTGTAGGATAGTTGTCTTGCATCTCTTCTTTTCATAACAAATCAATTTGTAGGTTCTATAAAGTGGGCCGATGATGAAGGTAAGGGAAATTTTGACTGCCAACTGAGAGGAGGATATGTTGGACAGGAATAAAGCCTTGCAACAGGCCACCTACTGACCCCTCAAAGAGTTGTGGCAAGGGTTCTTTAACGTGCAGAGTGGCACTGTCCCTACACATATAGGAACTATACTTTTTAAATTGCAATTCCAATTTTTGTTTGTTTTAAACATGATAACTTTAGAAGACTTTAAAGTGGGGGTCATAAAAAATATTACAATAATCCCACCTTTTACACCACCCTCAATGTTTATTATCTAGAACTCTGTTTACAAATGATTTTGTTTTCATATTATTTTATAGTATTTTCATTTTTTATATTTTTTAAAATTTTTTTTTACAGAGCTCTAGATACTAAAAATATCAGATGTTAAAGGTTAGAGGTATTAACAAAGTCATTCTAATTCAGAATATTGCAAAATTTTAATGTTAGTTGATTTTCTCATTGTTGAAGTCCATACAGTAACATGCAACTTCATTTGGTCTCTGTAGGATAGTTGTCTCGCATCTCTTCTTTCCATAACAAATCAATTTGTAGGTTCTATAAAGTGGGCCCATGACGAAGGTAAGGGAAATTTTGACTGCCAACTGAGAGGAGGATATGTTGGACAGAAATTAAGCCTTGCAACAGGCCACCTACTGACCCCTCAAAAACTTGTGGCAAGGGTTCTTTAACGTGCAGAGTGGCACTGTCCCTACACATAGGAACTATACTTTTTAAATTGCCATTCCAATTTTTGTTTGTTTTAAACATGATAACTTTAGAAGACTTTAAAGTGGGGGTCATAAAAAATATTACAATAATCCCACCTTTTACACCACCCTCAATGTTTATTATCTAGAACTCTGTTTACAAACGATTTTGTTTTCATATTATTTTATAGTATTTTCATTTTTTATATATTTTTTTTATTTTTTTTTACAGAGCTCTATATACTAAAATTATCAGATGTTAAAGGTTAGAGGTATTAACAAAGTCATTCTAATTCAGAATATTGCAAAATTTTAATGTTAGTTGATTTTCTCATTGTTGAAGTCCATACAGTAACATGCAACTTCATTTGGTCTCTGTAGGATAGTTGTCTCACATCTCTTCTTTTCATAACAAATCAATTTGTAGGTTCTATAAAGTGGGCCCATGACGAAGGTAAGGGAAATTTTGACTGCCAACTGAGAGGAGGATATGTTGGACAGAAATTAAGCCTTGCAACAGGCCACCTACTGACCCCTCAAAGACTTGTGGCAAGGGTTCTTTAACGTGCAGAGTGGCACTGTCCCTACACATATAGGAACTATACTTTTTAAATTGCCATTCCAATTTTTGTTTGTTTTAAACATGATAACATAAGAAGACTTTAAGGTGGGGGTCATCAAAAATATTGCAATAATCCCACCTTTTACACCACCCTCAATGTTTATTATCTAGAACTCTGTTTACAAACGATTTTGTTTTCATATATTATTTTTTGGTATTTTCTTTTTTTATATTTTTTTTTATATTTTTTTTACAGAGCTCTAGATAATAAAAATATCAGATGTTAAAGGTTAGAGGTATTAACAAAGTCATTCTAATTCAGAATATTGCAAAATTTTAATGTTAGTTGATTTTCTCATTGTTTTTGACTGCCAACTGAGAGGAGGATATGTTGGACAGAAATTAAGCCTTGCAACAGGCCACCTACTGACCCCTCAAAAACTTGTGGCAAGGGTTCTTTAACGTGCAGAGTGGCACTGTCCCTACACATAGGAACTATACTTTTTAAATTGCCATTCCAATTTTTGTTTGTTTTAAACATGATAACTTTAGAACACTTTAAAGTGGGGGTCATAAAAAATATTACAATAATCCCACCTTTTACACCACCCTCAATGTTTATTTTCTAGAACTCTGTTTACAAACGATTTTGTTTTCATATTATTTTATAGTATTTTCATTTTTTATATATTTTTTTTATTTTTTTTTACAGAGCTCTATATACTAAAATTATCAGATGTTAAAGGTTAGAGGTATTAACAAAGTCATTCTAATTCAGAATATTGCAAAATTTTAATGTTAGTTGATTTTCTCATTGTTGAAGTCCATACAGTAACATGCAACTTCATTTGGTCTCTGTAGGATAGTTGTCTCGCATCTCTTCTTTTCATAACAAATCAATTTGTAGGTTCTATAAAGTGGGCCCATGACGAAGGTAAGGGAAATTTTGACTGCCAACTGAGAGGAGGATATGTTGGACAGAAATTAAGCCTTGCAACAGGCCACCTACTGACCCCTCAAAGACTTGTGGCAAGGGTTCTTTAACGTGAAGAGTGGCACTGTCCCTACACATATAGGAACTATACTTTTTAAATTGCCATTCCAATTTTTGTTTGTTTTAAACATGATAACATAAGAAGACTTTAAGGTGGGGGTCATAAAAAATATTGCAATAATCCCACCTTTTACACCACCCTCAATGTTTATTATCTAGAACTCTGTTTACAAACGATTTTGTTTTCATATATTATTTTTTGGTATTTTCTTTTTTTATATTTTTTTTTATATTTTTTTTACAGAGCTCTAGATAATAAAAATATCAGATGTTAAAGGTTAGAGGTATTAACAAAGTCATTCTAATTCAGAATATTGCAAAATTTTAATGTTAGTTGATTTTCTCATTGTTTTTGACTGCCAACTGAGAGGAGGATATGTTGGACAGAAATTAAGCCTTGCAACAGGCCACCTACTGACCCCTCAAAGAGTTGTGGCAAGGGTTCTTTAACGTGCAGAGTGGCACTGTCCCTACACATAGGATTGATTGATTGTTGGTTGCTTAACGTCCAGTGGCAAATATTTCATGCATATTCAGGACCAGAACAAGTTCACAATAAATACAATAGGTAGGTTCTGTAATAGATTAAGGGATTAAGGTCGGAGAAATTTAGACTGCCACGGGAAATGAGGGTATATTGGATAGGGACAGAAATTTAGCCTTGCAACAGGTCACCTACGGACCCCTCAAAGAGTTGTTGCAAGGGTTTAACGTGCAAAGAGCGTGGCACTCTCTTTACACGAGGCATCGGATTTAACGTCCCCATTCTGACCGGACGTGGCTGCAAATTTGTACATCCCGCACAGCCAAACGGACGCCCCACTTTAGCACGGGTTTTACTGCCGGTCGGAGGAAGACCAATGGTGACCATACTTCTATTCCCCAGTCACCCTTGGGGGCCTACACATAGGAACTCTACTTTTTAAATTGCCATTCCAATTTTTGTTTGTTTTAAACATAACTTTAGAAGACTTTAAAGTGGGGGTCATAAAAAATATTACAATAATCCCACCTTTTACACCACCCTCAATGTTTATTATCTAGAACTCTGTTTACAAACGATTTTGTTTTCATATTATTTTATAGTATTTTCATCTTTTATATTTTTTTTTATTTTTTTTTTTACAGAGCTCTAGATACTAAAAGTATCAGATGTTAAAGGTTAGAGGTATTAACAAAGTCATTCTAATTCAGAATATTGCAAAATTTTAATGTTAGTTGATTTTCTCAATTTGTTGTTAGTCCATGCAGTAACCTATTTTACATCAACATCATTTGGTCTCTGTAGGATAGTTGTCTTGCATCACTTCATTTCATAACAAATCAATTTGTAGGTTCTATAAAGTGCGCCAATGATGAAGGTAGGGGAAATTTTGACTGCCAACTGAGAGGAGGATATGTTGGGCAGAAATTAAGCCTTGCAACAGGCCACCTACTGACCCCTCAAAGACTTGTGGCAAGGGTTCTTTAACGTACATAGTGGCACTGTCCCTACACATATAGGAACTATACTTTTTAAATTGCCATTCCAATTTTTTGTTTGTTTTAAACATGATAACATAAGAAGACTTTAAGGTGGGGGTCATAAAAAATATTACAATAATCCCACCTTTTACACCACCCTCAATGTTTATTATCTAGAACTCTGTTTACAAACGATTTTGTTTTCATATTATTTTATAGTATTTTCATTTTTTATATTTTTTTTTATTATTTTTTTTACAGAGCTCTAGATACTAAAAATATCAGATGTTAAAGGTTAGAGGTATTAACAAAGTCATTCTAATTCAGAATATTGCAAAATTTTAATGTTAGTTGATTTTCTCATTGTTGAAGTCCATACAGTAACATGCAATTTCATTTTGTCTCTGTAGGATAGTTGTCTCCATCTCTTCTTTTCATAACAAATCAATTTGTAGGTTCTATAAAGTGGGCCCATGACGAAGGTAAGGGAAATTTTGACTGCCAACTGAGAGGAGGATATGTTGGACAGAAATAAAGCCTTGCAACAGGCCACCTACTGACCCCTCAAAAACTTGTGGCAAGGGTTCTTTAACGTGCAGAGTGGCACTGTCCCTACACATAGGAACTATACTTTTTAAATTGCCATTCCAATTTTTGTTTGTTTTAAACATGATAACTTTAGAAGACTTTAAAGTGGGGGTCATAAAAAATATTACAATAATCCCACCTTTTACACCACCCTCAATGTTTATTATCTAGAACTCTGTTTACAAACGATTTTGTTTTCATATTATTTTATAGTATTTTCATTTTTTATATTTTTTTTTATTTTTTTTTACAGAGCTCTAGATACTAAAAATATCAGATGTTAAAGGTTAGAGGTATTAACAAAGTCATTCCAATTCAGAATATTGCAAAATTTTAATGTTAGTTGATTTTCTCATTGTTGAAGTCCATACAGTAACATGCAACTTCATTTGGTCTCTGTAGGATAGTTGTCTCGCATCTCTTCTTTTCATAACAAATCAATTTGTAGGTTCTATAAAGTGGGCCCATGACGAAGGTAAGGGAAATTTTGACTGCCAACTGAGAGGAGGATATGTTGGACAGAAATTAAGCCTTGCAACAGGCCACCTACTGACCCCTCAAAGACTTGTGGCAAGGGTTCTTTAACGTGCAGAGTGGCACTGTCCCTACACATATAGGAACTATACTTTTTAAATTGCCATTCCAATTTTTGTTTGTTTTAAACATGATAACATAAGAAGACTTTAAGGTGGGGGTCATCAAAAATATTGCAATAATCCCACCTTTTACACCACCCTCAATGTTTATTATCTAGAACTCTGTTTACAAACGATTTTGTTTTCATATATTATTTTTTGGTATTTTCTTTTTTTATATTTTTTTTTATATTTTTTTTACAGAGCTCTAGATAATAAAAATATCAGATGTTAATGGTTAGAGGTATTAACAAAGTCATTCTAATTCAGAATATTGCAAAATTTTAATGTTAGTTGATTTTCTCATTGTTTTTGACTGCCAACTGAGAGGAGGATATGTTGGACAGAAATTAAGCCTTGCAACAGGCCACCTACTGACCCCTCAAAGAGTTGTGGCAAGGGTTCTTTAACGTGCAGAGTGGCACTGTCCCTACACATAGGAACTATACTTTTTAAATTGCCATTCCAATTTTTGTTTGTTTTAAACATGATAACTTTAGAAGACTTTAAAGTGGGGGTCATAAAAAATATTACAATAATCCCACCTTTTACACCACCCTCAATGTTTATTATCTAGAACTCTGTTTACAAACGATTTTGTTTTCATATTATTTTATAGTATTTTCATTTTTTATATTTTTTTTAATTTTTTTTTACAGAGCTCTAGATACTAAAAATATCAGATGTTAAAGGTTAGAGGTATTAACAAAGTCATTCCAATTCAGAATATTGCAAAATTTTAATGTTAGTTGATTTTCTCATTGTTGAAGTCCATACAGTAACATGCAACTTCATTTGGTCTCTGTAGGATAGTTGTCTCGCATCTCTTCTTTTCATAACAAATCAATTTGTAGGTTCTATAAAGTGGGCCCATGACGAAGGTAAGGGAAATTTTGACTGCCAACTGAGAGGAGGATATGTTGGACAGAAATTAAGCCTTGCAACAGGCCACCTACTGACCCCTCAAAGACTTGTGGCAAGGGTTCTTTAACGTGCAGAGTGGCACTGTCCCTACACATATAGGAACTATACTTTTTAAATTGCCATTCCAATTTTTGTTTGTTTTAAACATGATAACATAAGAAGACTTTAAGGTGGGGGTCATAAAAAATATTGCAATAATCCCACCTTTTACACCACCCTCAATGTTTATTATCTAGAACTCTGTTTACAAACGATTTTGTTTTCATATATTATTTTTTGGTATTTTCTTTTTTTATATTTTTTTTTATATTTTTTTTACAGAGCTCTAGATAATAAAAATATCAGATGTTAATGGTTAGAGGTATTAACAAAGTCATTCTAATTCAGAATATTGCAAAATTTTAATGTTAGTTGATTTTCTCATTGTTTTTGACTGCCAACTGAGAGGAGGATATGTTGGACAGAAATTAAGCCTTGCAACAGGCCACCTACTGACCCCTCAAAGAGTTGTGGCAAGGGTTCTTTAACGTGCAGAGTGGCACTGTCCCTACACATAGGAACTATACTTTTTAAATTGCCATTCCAATTTTTGTTTGTTTTAAACATGATAACTTTAGAAGACTTTAAAGTGGGGGTCATAAAAAATATTACAATAATCCCACCTTTTACACCACCCTCAATGTTTATTATCTAGAACTCTGTTTACAAACGATTTTGTTTTCATATTATTTTATAGTATTTTCATTTTTTATATTTTTTTTTATTTTTTTTTTTACAGAGCTCTAGATACTAAAAATATCAGATGTTAAAGGTTAGAGGTATTAACAAAGTCATTCTAATTCAGAATATTGCAAAATTTTAATGTTAGTTGATTTTCTCATTGTTGAAGTCCATACAGTAACCTATTTTACATCAACATCATTTGGTCTCTGTAGGATAGTTGTCTTGCATCACTTCATTTCATAACAAATCAATTTGTAGGTTCTATAAAGTGGGCCGATGATGAAGGTAGGGGAAATTTTGACTGCCAACTGAGAGGAGGATATGTTGGGCAGAAATTACCTACACATAGGAACTTTACTTTTTAAATTGCCATTCCAATTTTTGTTTGTTTAAAACATGATAACTTTAGAAGACTTTAAAGCAGGGGTCATAAAAAATATTACAATAATCCCACCTTTTACACCACCCTCAATGTCTATTATCTAGAACTCTGTTTACAAATAATTTTGTTTTCATATTATTTTTTGGTATTTTCATTTTTTATATTTTTTTTTTATATTTTTTTACAGAGCTCTAGATACTAAAAATATCAGATGTTAAAGGTTAGAGGTATTAACAAAGTCATTCTAATTCAGAATATTGCAAAATTTTAATGTTAGTTGATTTTCTCATTGTTGAAGTCCATACAGTAACATGCAACTTCATTTGGTCTCTGTAGGATAGTTGTCTCGCATCTCTTCTTTTCATAACAAATCAATTTGTAGGTTCTATAAAGTAGGCCGATGACGAAGGTAAGGGAAATTTTGACTGCCAACTGAGAGAAGGATATGTTAGACAGAAATTAAGCCTTGCAACAGGCCACCTACTGACCCCTCAAAGACTTGTGGCAAGGGTTCTTTAACGTGCAGAGTGGCACTGTCCCTACACATTGGAACTATACCGTAGTGCATAGTTCTGAATCTCTGTCAAGGTTTTACTATATTTTTGGTTTAAAGTTCTTAAATGATTGTATTGAGTTTTTGACTTTCCAATACTTTAGCCTCAAATATCACTGTCTGGAGAGATTTTGTTGAAATAATTTCAAAATGATTTCTCAAACGTTTTCTGATCATTTTTGGTTAAAAAATATTCATATTTCCTTAAATAACAGTTTTGTTGACTGAGTGCTCACGTCAATAGATATAAACAATTCACCAAAGTTTCATGCAAATTGGTGAAAGTGTTTTTGAATTAATGTCGACGAGGGACGGACAGACAGACAGACGGACGGACGGACAGATGGTCAACCATATATACGTCCCGTAAATGGGCATATAAAAAGTCAAAAAGAAACAATGAACAATGCCTTGATTCCCCAAAAAAGTAAAACATTTGTATAAATTTTAGACTAGACACCATCAAATTAAATCTTGAGAATATGGCCTCTGAAGTCTGCAGATTGTTCATATCAAATGATGTACACATAAATATAAAAAAAAAGTCTGCAGATGATCATATCACATGATGTACACATAAATACAGACAAAAACATGCAATGGTATAGTACCATTTGAAGTAGTCAGTTTGATTTCATGTCAAAGATTAAAAATTTCATAAGGGGTTGTGTGGAACCTAATGTATTGCCTGCTATAGCTGCTGTCAGTGTAATATAGAATTTAAAAAAAGAGAGAGTCTATTTATCAGTAAAATACAGAAATTAAATAAAGATCAAACTTTTGTCTTAGATGCTGTTTAATTTCTAAATAATTTACAAACTTATATTTGTATCTATCATACACCATTATAAGGATTTAATATTTGAATAATTTTTTATTTCTAGAATTTTGGTTAATCATGAATAAATCATACAAAGAAATGAACATGCACAAGAAGGTATGGTTTTCTCCAACTGTTAATGATGTCTTTACAATAAATCCATTGGTGTGGATGTGTACTGATTGATATTTTAGTCATAGATGCATAATTTTTTTATTAGTTGTTATTGTCTTTGAACTAACTGTCAGCAACTACTTAAAGCTTGTACTCTTATCAGATCTGTACACGGTAGTGTTTTTTTGTTGTTGCGAGAATGTATAAGTACCCTTCTCCTTCCGGTCAGTTTTGTGTATTTGTTAGATGTATTTCTGCTTTGTATCAATCTGATGAGTTATTAGCCATCTTCAACTTATTTTAATAGTTTGTTATGTTGTACTGTTTCACAACTGTCTCAGGTAAGGGGAGGGAGGGTACTGGAACCTTCAAACTAGTTTAACCCCAAACCCCTTGTTCTGTATATGGCTGTCCCACGTCAGGAGCCTGCAATTCAGCGATTGTCATTTGTTCATGCTATATATCATGTTTGTTTTTCGTTCATTATTTTGCTTTCTCGTTTTGTTTTATAGCTGTAATTTCAGGGCCTTTCATAGCCGACTGTGCTCATTGTTGAAAAATTTCACATTTACAAAGGTAAAAGTGACGACAACCAAATTTAAACTTGATCTACGTTTTGTAGTAAATTAATCGTTGTGTACACATTTTATAACATAAGGTCCAGTCAAGCTAAAGTTAGGAGAATGGAGACCAATTTTGGAATGAATGTACAGCGGGTGAATAAATAATATCTAAAATAATCCCACTTTTTTCACCACCCTCCATGTTTATTAGCTAAAAATCTGTTAACAATTTTGTTTTCATTTAATTTTTGGTATTTATTTTTTAAAATTTTTTTTCATATTTTTTTTTTAACAGAGCTCTAGATAATAAAAAGATCAAATGTCAAAAGTAAAGGGAGGGTTGGTGCTTTTGCTCATTATTGAAGGTCGTACGGTAACTTATAGTTGTTAATTGCTATGTCATTTTTGTCTTTTCTATGCATGTTCCATTAGTGTTTATTTTTGTTGCACTTCAGTGTTTCTGTTGTTTTCCTCTTGTAGTTGATATGTTTCCCTCAGTATTAGTTTTGTTACCCAGATTTGTTAATTTTTCTCTCAATCGATTTATGACTTCTGAACAGCAGTATACTGTTGTTATCTTTATTCATTTTGGTCTCTTGTGGAGAGTTGTCTCATTGGCAATCATACCACATGTTCTTGTAATTATGTTTACAACTTTTATCATTAAGAACCCTTGGTTCAGTGATATCCTTTAAAAACAGCAAACATTTTATTAAGGAAAAATGTCCTACAGCACATGCAAAGAGTGGAATAATCAACATGGTGATACAAAATCCATATATACAAGTATACCTGGATTCATGCTACATAGTAATAGACGGTTCACAATCAGAAAAAAGAAGTCTCCTTTGTTGTAATTTTTTATAGTTCCCAACTGACCTCACCAACAACCCCCAGGCTAAGGTCAAGCTATGAGCCAGTTCCTGTATCGGATGCTCCTTACAACTAGCTATGTAGGAATTACAGAAGGATCGAATCAATAATGTCAACAAACTTGGAAAAAAGAAATGCCTAAATTGGGAAATAAAAGTGAAGTAAAAGTACAATGCAAGTTCCTCTGTCTTCCCCAAGAAGCCCCTGAATCAAGTCTACTTCATATGTAAAAATGAACGATAGGGTGGATATCTAAAACCAGCAGCATACTTGTCCCAATGGCAATCATACCACATCTGATGTTTATATGTAAATGTGATTTGAATATGAAATATTAGGTCATTGCTCCATTGTTAAAGACCCTGTATCAATCTCTGTCATTTGGTCTTGATGAAGAGTTTGTCTATTGGCAATCATATCACATCTCCATATTTGTATTCTAGAACAGCATTTTATTGTTGAAGACAGTATGTTAACCTAGTTATCATGTGTCTTGGCCATATTTTGTTGTTAGTAAGTAAATGCTGTCTCATTGACGTTAATTATCCCACATATCCTTTTATACATATGCTGAGTCATTTTTAGAACAATTACTAGATAAGATAAAGACTCCTTAAGAAAAAGATCTAGTTTTTCTTCAAAGCCAACTTGTCTTTGCTCTTTCTCTTTAGGTTTTTTTGGGTAGTGAAGGAATATAGCAATACCAGTTTTGAAGTCTCTACCTTTGACTCAGCTGGGGCGGGGAATAAAGGATTATTGAGACTGCTACAGGGGGATGACCAAGACTAGAAGAGGAGCATACTGTGAACCAACTCATTTTTTGGACAATTTATTTAATAGACTTCAAAGAAAAGATGTAAGCCGAATATAAATCACGAGAATTTAAAAATAGAATTGTCTGTTGTATGAAAAACCCGCAAAATTAGATAATCACGAAACATATCCATGTGAAATATGCTAAAAAAAGGTCGATAAGTCTTTTCGTTTGAATTGTTTTACATTTGTGATTTCTGGGCCTTTTATAGCTGACTATGTGGTTTGGGCTTAGCTCATCGTTGAGGGCCGTACAGTTATCTATAGCTGTTAATTTCTGTGTCATTTAGTCTCTTGTGGAGAGTTGTCTCTTTGGCAATCATACCACATCTTCTTTTTTTATATATACATGTAAGCAGAAAAAATCCTATGTGAAATATGAGAGAAATGGCGATACGCGAAAAAAAGTATCAGCTTCAAATTATGATAGAAATGTCTATATGGTCGTTAGTTTTTTCGTTTGAATTGTTTTACATATGTGATTTCTGGGCATTTTAAAACTGACTATGTGGTTGGGGCTTTGCTCATCGTTGAGGGCCGTACAGTTACCTACAATGTATAAGCTGTTAATTTCTGTGTCATTTAGTCTCTTGTGGAGAGTTGTCTCATTGGCAATCATACCAAATCTTCTTTTTTATATATACGTGGAAAAATTCCTATGTGAAATATGATAGAAATGGCGATACGCGAAAAAAAATATCAGCTGCGAAATATGAAAAAATGTTGCTACGCCAAAAAAAATATCAGCTGTGAAATATAATAGGAATGGCGCAACACAAATAAAATGTCCATAAAATAAGTTGGTTTACAGTAGTTGGTTCCTATAGAAATGTCAACTGCGTTACAAAAATAGGACATTAAATTGGTGATAAACTGAGTTTAAAAGGAAGGTGGTCATTAACTGTTCCCCATGAAATTGAAATTTGAAAATTATAATAATGGTCAATCGAAATGCAAAGAATGTAAAAAAAAATTCTAAACGTGAAATTCAGTCTGAATTTTACATTTCATCACCCCAAAGAGATTCCTTATTTAACTGTCCCATTCTGAATTTTAGGTATTAGGTACATATTCATCTGAAGTTATAATCATGTTAGACTAAATTTATGGCACTTTTTCTTTTTTTGAAAGTTATTTACTAACGACAGAAAGTCTCAGCCCAATAAATTCTATTGTGCACACATACTTAATAAATATAAAGCATGCAACCATATCCCTCCATCTGGTTAGTACCCTAAACCCTTATTAGAATGTCATACATCAATCTCTCTCTCCCTTGCGCCATCTATCACGCCACTAATACCTAACAACCTATTTAGGAAGTATCATGTTAGTAAACCCCCCAGGTTAGTGTTGATACTTCAAAAAATAAAAAGATTTTTAAATGAAGTACTTAAGACATGGAGGGACAAGTATAATTTTTTAAAGAAATTAAAATATTTCATAAACTTAAATGAATGGATGTTACAATTTTCAGTGTAGCCAACTGGTTAGTGGAATAACCTTCATTAAGATTGCCAGAGACCACAACTTTGTGGAGCCAAAAACAAAGTTTTTCATGATCGTTAAAAAGCCAACCAAAAGAGATAAACTGTCCAGAAATTTAGAGGAATAAAAATAATAATTTAAATTTCTAAAAGCATTACTGCAGACCTTAATACTGATTCAGAATGAGAAAAAGGTTATAATTAATTAAATAATGAAATAATGTTGAAGAGGGAGAATTTTTTTTCATCTGAAAAAGGAAAAAATGGCATAAGAAAACTATAAAAAAATTTAAAAAAAGAACTAAAACAAACTAGAGGCTCTCAAGAGCCTGTGTCGCTCACCTGATTCTACTTTGGTTTTGGAAATCATAACGGATACCCTAATGATGATTGAGGCCAAATTTGGTTTAATATTGGCCCCGTAATTAAATAAAAAATCTTGGGGTATGACTATATCCCATAGGGTCTTATGTTAAACTAAGTCCCCTGCTGGCAGCCATCTTGAAGGATGGTTCAGCTACAAAGTAACAACACTTAGTCAGCACCTCATTAGAAACATTTATGCCATGTTTGGTTTCATTCTATTCAGTTGTTCTCTAGAAGAAAACACTTGTATGTATTTCCCATAGGGTCCTATGTTAAACTTACTCCCCCTGCTGGCAGCCATCTTGGATGACAAATCAGCTACAAAGTAACAACACTTGGTCAGCACCTCTTAAGAAACTTTCATACCATGTTTGGTTTCAATCCATTAGGCGGTTTTCTAGAAGAAGACATTTGTATATATTTCCCATAGGGTCCTTTGTTAAACTAAGTCCCCCTGCTAGCATCCATCTTGGTTGATGGATTTGCTACAAAGTAACAACACTTGGTCAGCACCTCATAAGGAACATTCATGCCATGTTTAGTTTCATTCCATTCAGTGGTTCTTCAAAAGAAGACTTTTGTATGTATTTCACATAGCTAGGGTCCTTAAACTAAGTTACCCTCTGGTAGCCATCTTGGATGATTGCTTGGCTACAAAGTAACAACACTTGGTCAGCACCTCATAAGGAAAATTCATGCCATGTTTGGTTTCATTCCATTCAGTGGTTCTCTAAAAGAAGACATTTGTATGTATTGTCCTTGGGGTCCTATGTTAAACTAAGTCCCTCTCTGGCGGCCATCTTGGATGACTGATCGGCTTCAAAGTAACAACAATTGGTCAACACCTCATAAGAAACATTCATGCCATGGTTTGTTTTATTCCATTTAGTGGTTCTCTAAAAGAAGACATTTGTATGTATTATCCATTATGGTCCAATGTTAAACGAAGTCCCCTGCTGGCAGCCATCTTGGAAGATGGATCGGCTTCCTTCAAAGTAACAACACTTGGTCAGCACCTCATAAGGAACATTCATGCCATGTTTAGTTTCATTTCATTCAGTTGTTCTCTAAAAGAAGACATTTGTATGTATTGTCCATAGGGTCCTATGTTAAACTAAGTCTCATGCTGGCAGCCATCTTGGATGATGGATCGGCTACAAAGTAACAACTCTTGGTCAGCACCTCATAAGGAACAATCATGCCATGTTTGGTTTCATTCCATTCAGTGGTTCTCTAAAAGAAGACATTTGTATGTACATGTATTGTCCATAGGGTCCTATGTTAAACTAAGTCCCCCACTGTTGGCCATCTTGGATGATTGATCACCTACAAAGTAACAACACTTGGTCAACACCTCATAAGGAACATTCATGCCATGTTTAATTTCATTCCATTCAGTGGTTCTCTAAAAGAACACATTTGTATGTATTGTCCATAGGGTCCTTTGTTGAACTTAAGTCCCACGCTGGCGGGCATCTTGGAAGATGGATCAGCTTCAAAGTAACAACATTTAGTCAGCACCTCATAAGGAAAATTCATGCCATGTTTAGTTTCATTCCATTCAGTGGTTCTCTAAAAGAAGACATTTGTATGTACATGTATTGTCCATAGGGTCCTATGTTAAACTAAGTCCCACGCTGGCGGCCATCTTGGATGATGGATCGGCTACAAAGTAACAACACTTGGTCAGCATCTCATAAGAAACAATCATGCCATGTTTGGTTTCTTTCCATTCACTAGTTCAAAATGTATTTATATTTAAAAGTTAACGACGACGACGGACGACAACAGACGACAGACGCCAAGTGATGAGAAAAGCTCACTTGGCCCAAAGGGCCAGGTGAGCTAAAAATGTTGACATTGCTATGGGAACCCTGCCCCTTTTAAGACAGACTTCATACAGGCACTTATCAAGGATAAAAAGATCAAGCATTATCCCTTAATTTCACATTTCACATTATGAAGGCGATCTCTTTTAATATAGATAACTCAAAAGTTGATCACACCTAACCCACTGAACCAGAAGAAGGATACAACAGATACGGATACTGTGCTTCAAAACTTGCCGTCGCCCAGAAACTATCAGCAAGGACCAGCTGAGAGCTAATAATTTGACAAAAGAGACTTCAATTTCCTGATTGTGAACTTTTCTTATGTAGCAGCAATCCAATTATACCTGAAAATGAATTTCATGTCTCCTTGCTGATTATTCCACTCTTTGCATCTCATGCATGTAGGTATTTCCTTTAAAAAAAACAGTTGCTGCTTATGCTTAAAAAGAAACTTCTAAAACAATGGTTGTTAATGATCAAGTTGATTGAAAGTCACTCTTTACATGATTTATTGATTACAAAAATTCTAGATGTGAAAAAAATAATCATATACAGTCAAACCTGCCTTAAGGTCACCACCTTGTTTAAGAGGTCAACTATCTCTAACGGTCTCTTGGTGACCCTCTCAAGCATTTTCTCTATATATTTAACTCATTTCAGAGATCACCTGTCCGATGCGGTCACCTTATTTTATGCACGAAATCATCATTTTACTGTTTTTAATTATAATTATAATCATGATGAAAAATATATGTGTTCAGTATCAAAATCAAAATGAGAATCGGAACCCGTTTCACGGTTTGCAACAGATCTTGCAATAGGTGAATCCTTGTATTCCACTCCCTTCAATTAATACCATTGAAAAGCATTTCACAGACTTGTTTATCCAATTATATCAACATCTTTAAATCAATAAATGTCTTCTTCAAATTGACAGTGCAAGAGTCCACCCTTTAATATTTGTCTGCTCACAGGAACGAAACAAACGAACGAACGATAAATCTTCCAACTAAAACACTAAACCAAGTTGCATTCCCAGCCACAGAAACTCTTTTTAAAGGTCACTTTTCTCAAACCGTCCCTTTTGATACTTCCCATGAGTGACATGCTTAAAACAGGTTTGACTGTACAAGATCCTTAATACTTATATCTCTATATTCAAATTTTATAAAAACTCAAATCCCACAAATTTTCAGCAGTATCATATTTTTTTCTTCAGTTCTCCACATTTTTTTTTTACTTTTTTCATTTTTCTTATACTACTGCGCCAACAAAAGATGTGTAATATAAAGGCTAGAGTTTTTTTGGGAAATTCTAATATTTTGATATTTCAGCATAATTTCACCTAAATTTTGGTGGCTACTTAAAAAGAATCTACTGAATAATTAGGGTTTTTAAAGATAAAGTTGAAAGTCAATTTTTCCCATGATTCATAAACTAAAATTCAGCATGTAGTTAAACTGCAATAAGTCATCTGCAGACTTTATTTCTGGGAGCATGTGTATTAAAAAATAAATGAAATAGATTTCACCCTTATAAAACATACTTTAAAAAATTAATTAAAGGTCTAATATAACAAATCTTATAACCAAATTCTTTTAACTCATATTTAGAGAAACTCAAACCTCTATATCACACAGGTTTTCAGCAGTATCATATTTTTTTCTTCAGTTCTCCACATTTTTTTTTTTTACTTTTTTCATTTTTCTTAAAAATACTGCCGCGCCAACAAAAGATGTGTGATATAAAGGCTAGAGTTTTTTGGGGAAATTCCAATATTTTGATATTTCAGCATAATTTTTTTTTTTACTATTTTCATTTTTCTTAAATATACAGCAGTGCCAACAAAAGATGTGTAATATAAAGGCTATTTATTCATTGGAAATTCTAAAATTTCAAATTTTATCAAAATGTTTACCTTAAATTCAATGGCTGTTTAAAAAGAATCTACTGAATAATTATGGTTTTAAAAGATAAAGTTGAAAGTCAATTTTTCCCATGATTCATAAACTAAAATTCAGCATGTAGTTAAACTGCAATAAGTCATCTGCAGACTTTATTTCTGGGAGCATGTGTATTAAAAAATAAATGAAATAGATTTCACCCTTATTAAACATACTTTAAAAAATTAATTAAAGGTCTAATATAACAAATCTTATAACCAAATTCTTTTAACTCATATTTAGAGAAACTCAAACCTCTATATCACACAGGTTTTCAGCAGTATCATATTTTTTTCTTCAGTTCTCCACATTTTTTTTTTTTACTTTTTTCATTTTTCTTAAAAATACTGCCGCGCCAACAAAAGATGTGTGATATAAAGGCTAGAGTTTTTTGGGGAAATTCCAATATTTTCATATTTCAGCATAATTTTTTTTTTTACTATTTTCATTTTTCTTAAATATACAGCAGTGCCAACAAAAGATGTGTAATATAAAGGCTATTTATTCATTGGAAATTCTAAAATTTCAAATTTTATCAAAATGTTTACCTTAAATTCAATGGCTGTTTAAAAAGAATCTACTGAATAATTATGGTTTTAAAAGATAAAGTTGAAAGTCAATTTTTCCCATGATTCATAAACTAAAATTCAGCATGTAGTTAAACTGCAATAAGTCATCTGCAGACTTTATTTCTGGGAGCATGTGTATTAAAAAATAAATGAAATAGATTTCACCCTTATTAAACATACTTTAAAAAATTAATTAAAGGTCTAATATAACAAATCTTATAACCAAATTCTTTTAACTCATATTTAGAGAAACTCAAACCTCTATATCACACAGGTTTTCAGCAGTATCATTATTTTTTTCTTCAGTTCTCCACATTTTTTTTTTTACTTTTTTCATTTTTCTTAAATATACTGCCGCGCCAACAAAAGATGTGTGATATAAAGGCTAAAGATTTTTGGGGAAATTCTAATATTTTGATATTTCAGCATAATTTCACCTTAATTTTGGTGGCCACTTAAAAAGAAAAATAACTCAATAATTAGTGACTTTTTAACGGTAAAGTAGAAAGTTGATTCTTCACACGATTCTGGATGTAGTTAAACTGCAATAAGTCATCTGCAGACTTCATTTCTGGGAACATGTATATTTAGAAAATAAAGGAAATGGATCATCGGCCCTTAAAAACATCTTTTTTTTTAAATGTGTAATTTAACCAATCTCATTACCAATATCTTTAAGTCAAATTTAGAGAATCTCAAACCTCTACATCACAAAACTCCCAGCAGAACTGTCTTCTCAGTACAACATTAGATCTTCTATCTCAAAAGTTTCATCTACGGCTGTCCCCTCCATTATAGTTCCGCTCTATACCAAAAACATCATCTACAATATAAAAATAATTCAATTATTGAAAACTTTAGATTTGTAAACTACTGATATAATTGTAATAGGTGCCATATCCAACTTAGAATAAGCATCCGATTATAAATATCACTAGAACACACCCGCGAAATAGCGGTTAATTAGAGCTTGGTTGAAAGTATGTAAACTGTTATAGGATGAATTTTTGTAAAAGATTTTATGTCTGGAGAATTTCAGAAAAGGTATCAATCTGAGTCATAGGCACTTGGAGACAGGACAATTATTTTATAAAGTCCTCTTCCTTTTTTTCAAAGTCCGTTATTTTTTTGCTCTCTGATAAATTCCATGATTTTCGCGTTTCTGTATACTATGAACATACATATAATACAAGAAATGATTGTAACAGGATGTTGATACGAAGTCTCCCAAACGAAGCTCCCATAATTCGTAATTCCCAGGGTCGTCTGACATTGGGCAAAGTCCCGTGAAAATTGATTTGGTAAAGTTATATGCATTAGTGATGCCTGGGGACTAACCCTGTATATCATTCAAATCATCTTGGCATGACAAACCAGAATATATATGGTTTAGGGGTGGGGATCTCGACCACTTACAAGATACTAGAACATTGGGGGTGGGGGGAACCCCTGGGGACTGACCTTATACCTCATTCAAATGTTCGAGACATGACTAACAGGAATATATATGGTTTAGGGGAGGGGATCTCGATCATTTACAAGATATTAGAACATTGGGGGTGGGGGGAACCCCTGGAGACTGACCCTATACATCATTCAAATGTTCGAGACATGACGAACAAGAATATATATGGTTTAGGGGTGGGGATCTCAACCATTTACAAGATATTAGAACATTGGGGGTGGGGGAACCCCTGGGGACTGACCCTATATGTCATTCAAATGTTCGAGACATGACGAACAGGAATATATATGGTTTAGGGGTGGGGATCTCAACCATTTACAAGATATTAGAACTTTCTCAAATGGCAAGGGGTGGGGGATGACCCCTGGGGACTAAAAAAACATCTTTGCATGACAAACCAGAATATATATGGTTTAGGGGTGCGGATCTTGACCACTTACATAATATTAGAACTTTTTAAAATGGCAGGGGGTGGGGGTGACCCCTGGGGACTTGCCCTGTATAACATTCAAACCATCTTTGCATGACAAACCAGAATATATATGGTTTAGGGGTGGGGATCTTGACCACTTACAAGATATAAGAACTTTCTTAAATGGCAGGGGGTTGGGGTGACCCCTGGAGACTAACCCTGTATTTCATTTGATTTGCTTTATAATGACAAACCAGAAAATATAGGGGTTAGGGGTGGGGATCTCGACCATTTACAAGATATTAGAACTTTCTCAAATGGCAGGGGGTCGGGATGACCCCTTGGGACTAACCCTGTATATCATTCAAACCATCTTAGCATGACACACCAGAATATATATGGTTTAGGGGTGGGGATCTTGACCACTTACAAGGTATTAGAACTTTCTTAAATGGCATGGGGTGGGGTGACCCCTGGGGACTAACCCTGTATTTCATTTAATGTGCTTTATCATTTAGAACATTTTCAATTAAAAAGATTGTGTCTATCACAATTCATGAACTATCAATTCCAAGACAAGTTCTTCTCCACGGCGTTCACTGCTATATTATATAGAGTCTCTCTATATATTATAGGATTATAAAGAGAGTCTCTATATATTATAGGATTATAATCATAGTATACATGCAGAATAACGCGAAAATAATTATCCTGTCCAGTGATCGGGAAGGACGTGCGCCTTGCGCCAATTGCGCTTATTGATCAGAAATGGCGCATAAAGTGACAAATGTAAGCGCCCGCGTGGCGCATGATATTTTTCACTTCGTTTTGAAACGTTGAGATATCGTCAAATGGATTTCCGATCGTATTTCATGCCGCCATGTGTGAGTACACAACTGTGTAGTGTTTACTCAAATGATAGGAGCACCTATATATTTTTGGGACGTCTCTGGTGTTTTCCTATGGTAATAATAGCAACATGCGGTATGACTGATTAACCAAAAAACGTAATTAACCATCATTCATGATATAATTTTTTATAAACAACTTTAAATTTGTGAAAATTGGCTAGTACAGGCGAGAATTCTTCTCTAATTATAATCTTTTAAGTAAGCTTGCTATTATTTTGATTGAAAAACCCAAAAGCCTTTTTATGAATAGTATAGTATTTGTCTCCATAAAAGGGGCTTAACTGTCCTTGCCAATTATTTTGTCTTTGGCTTGTTTGGACATTTTGTAAACATGCCTTCAGCGAATTGTTGTTGTGTCTTGTCAATAAACGTTGCTCTATACTGTTATTCTTGTCATCGTGATGAAGTAATAATAATACAAGTGCAGAGGAAATGCCAGAAACGTCCTCTAATACGGAACGTCTGAAATAAGTATGGTATCGACAAAGACCCAAATTTAATGTAAAAAAAAACATGAACATGAACAAGGGAACAGTACCAGTTTTAATATTGTAAATAAAGGTTATCGTAAATATTGCCTGGTTTGGAAGAAGTTATTGTATATTCATTGAAATTGAAATTACAAAATCACAGGAACAATATCCATGATATTAATTAGAATCATACTTGTTAGTACAGTGAAATATACACTTTTTTTTATTTATTTTTTATTGTAAACGAATGGCCCACTCATTTGACAACATGGCCCATTAATTCTTAAAATGGCCCATTGAATTTATTTTTGGGGGGCCCTGGGCCCATAGAGAAAAAATCCTTCCAGATCACTGCCTGTCCCAGAGTAATTATGAAAATTATGTTTAAAGAGGGAGTAAGGGGGGGTAGGGGTATCTGCACAGAAGAATGCAAAATAAAAATGCCATTTCACAATGAGCGAACAATTAAAATATTGATTTCAAGAAACATGGTGAAAAACGAACCTTTTTCACGGCTGCACGTGAAATAAAAAGTGGCAAAACATGTTGCACGAAAATAACCCTTTACCCCCTCTTTTTAAGTTTAAAATCGGAAGTCTTGGGTATGACTTAAAAGTCGGTCTGATGACGGAAACAATATTCGGACGCCTTTTTCTTCGTTTTTCTCCCAAATAACCCAAACTGAATAATCATAAGAATGGATGACAAATGCGACTATGCATGGTACCTATAGGACACATACAGAGGCATGAAGATTAATTTATTGGGGAAGGAAGAGAAGCGACACACAAAATGAGGTCTTCTCGTTTAAAAGTATAGATATAAAGTAAACAATATGTTTAAGCCTATCCATGTTAATAATGACTACACATTTTATAAAAACTTAATTGACCAATTTAAACAGAGTTAAAAGTATATATGTCAAGTTTGAAATGATCTCAACACTTACAGATATTTAAACTGTGCTATGATATGAAGAGCCTTCGATATACCAAAGTCAATAAGGGAAATAACACAGGTAATTTTTTTATTTTTTTAAGGTACGTTAATATGCTGGTTTCTGCAGTTGGGCCAAGTTTTGCTAAAAAATTTGAGAAACTCATGTGCAATGCTCAGAACCAAAACTTGTAAAAAGTGTTTTGATTTTGAGCTGTGAGTCACTTATTGTTTTAGAATTATGTCCCTTTATAACTTGGAAAATTGCACACTAATAGTGACATCAAATGCTCTCAAAAAGTATATTTGCTTAATCATAAACACGAAATATGTGAAAGTTTTGATTGATAAATACTCTTCATTAGCCACAGACAAGAATAAGTCAGTTTTAGACAAGCGTAATAAGAATAAATATGAAAATCAGAAGAAGTGGTATATTGCCAATGAGACCATTCTCCACTAGAGACCAAAAGACGTAGAAGTTAACAATAATAGCTATTGGTCACCAAATAGCCTTCAACATTATGACAAATGTAAAACAAAAAAATTCAGATGAGAAAACTTACAGCCTGATTTATATGTACAAATTTAACAATAGATGATAAAACAAATATGATATACAGCAAAAAACAACCACCCCTATATTACAGGCTCCTGAATTGGGACAAGCACATTAAAATGTAGTGGGGTTAAACATGTTTGCTGGCATCCAATCCTCCCACTTACTTAATTGGGACAGTGGTTTAACAGCATAACATTATTATATTAAGAACAAGCTATAAGTGGTTTAACAGCATAACAAGAACAAACTATAACTAGAGGCTCTTTGTCGCTCACCTTGGGTCTATATGCATATTCAACAAAGGATACTCTCCAACATTGTAGATGAGAATAGAATTAATGACAAAAATCTTGGGTTTTTTTTATCTTATATTGCTGATCATTGAAGTCTGTTTAATTTCTCTCTATCTAATTTAGCTTTTGCTCCAAACAAATAAGAGAGTAAAAAATAATTTCCAAATTTAAGGGCAACAACTCCTGTAAAAATTTATAAACTACTAATTATATCAGCAAAATTTGACTTTTTAGTAGGTCTTGTCTTGCTAATCATTTTTGATTATTTAAGTTTCTATCTATCTATTATAATTTTTATCATATAATGCAAAATGGTAAAATTCGTCATTAAAGGGCAATCACTCCAATAAGGAGTATTTTGACAACTTCCGCCATTCGTCTTAATTGTAGATCTTGTCTTGCTGATCATTTTTTGTTTATATAAGTTTCTTTTTATCTATTATAAGTTATAAGATATAAAACAAAAACGCAAAAAAAATTGTACAAATCGTCATGAAAGGGCGTTAACTCTAATCAGAAGTCAAATGACTATTTCATACTACCCTTCTGATCATTTTTGCAGTTTAAAGTTTCTCTCTGTCTATATAGTTTTCAATATAATAGGCAAATATGAAAAAAATCAAAACAAGAGGCTCTCAATAGCCTGAATCGCTCATCTGTAATTTTTTGTTTAAATCTTTCATCAATGATTATTTTTGCTTTTCAATATATATTAATGAATGGCTTAAAACTTCCATTGAAATGTTCTAAGTATCTGTCATATTTTCTTCA